ACTGCTGGAAACTGTTTAAACCTAGGAGACTCAGGCTTCGCTCTGATATTACCCTATCGACTCGTGTGGTGAACGACTGGAACTCCTTGCCTGATTCCGTCGTCAACGCGCATACTGAGGAATGTTTTAAACGATTGTTGGATTTATACTTGTTGAATTTGCAGGGATCTTGTTGTTTCTTATGCAACTGTGACAACCTAACTTGTTGATTGCTGTTGCGCAAACACCTGCTATGATTGGGAGGTGATGGAGCTGACAAAGGTCTTTCCTTCTGCTCTCTACATTCCAATGATTTCCTGATGCTCAGCCTCTCACGAAGACCGAATGCGATATGATTTAGAAGATCCAACGCTGTGGATCCAAATGTGTGCCAGAGCTGCGGTGCCTATCTTATCATCTCCGTCTCCAGCGATTGAACTTTTTCTCTCTGGATTGCCGTCGTCGTCGCGACGATTTGATCTACACTCGACGTACCCTAAGAGGAGAGCTAGGAAGCGAGTTACAGCAGTTCTTTCATCTGAACATTGAAAGTTCGACACGTGGTCACAGATGGAAACTGTTCAAGTCGAGGAGATTCCATGTGCGGTCAGATCTAGCTCTATCCACGCGCGTGGTTAATGACTGGAATCGCCTTCCGGAGCTTGTCGTGGATTCGCAGTCCGAGAAAAGTTTCAAGACTGTTGGATTCCCACCTGATAACTGTCTGGATATTGCTTCACAACATAGCTAAGGTTCATTGTGGAACCCCAGCGTGTCCGCAACGATTATACGCGTAGGCGGGTACTAGGTGGTGATAATCATGCTAGCTCCCTAGAACAACAGATAGCACTGAATAAGTTGCGTTGGCTCGGGCACGTGCTACATATGCCTGGTCACCGCTTACCTAGGAGGACCTTGTTTAGTCTGCCAGGTGTAGGGTGGCGCAAGGCTCGAGATGGGCAGAAGTTAACTTGACAGCGGGAAATGAAGTCACCAAACTGGCTGCCGTTGGTCCGTCTCGCCTTCCGGGCTGGAGTCCACGTGACTCGCCTTTTGCTTGGCTCGAGACTTTCCAGGACATGGCTCGCAGTAGACACCAGTGGCTCGTCTGCTGCCGTCCCCTAATCGGATTGCCTGTTTAAAATGTGTTTGGTGCTGAGTTATCTGCGGCGTAATGGCCGATTATGACGCGTGGCAGTGAAAGTCGCACTGGAGTTGTCTCGCCGATGCCGCCTTATCTTTGCACGATATCCAGCTGTTTGTGACGGTATGTTGTTAACACAAGGTGTAGGCGCCTTGACCCTGAATGTTTGATTAGGGCATTAAGATTTCCAGGTAAGTCCCCCTTCTCTTCCTCTTCTTATTCTTTATTTCGTAGGTCCTCATGATTGTATGGCAGCGATGCATCAGTTCAAATGGCTGATGTACTGTTGTTGATAATGCTGATGATGATTTTCGCAATGACCCCACAATGACTGGGAGCGACCGGACTGATAAAAGACTCCTGCTCTCTACCATCCAATGATGAAACTCGTACAGCGCTCTGAATGTGACGGCTGGATGCAAATCGCTTGTTGTGACATCGGTCCTAATCAGTACGAATAACTACAGCTGATGACTTCTCTAGCTCTTGTTTTCTTTTGTGATGTCTGCCGCACCTCGTTAAACAACAGACGTCTCGTGAGTGGGCTCTTTTTGCTCAGCCCTCACCCCACTCCAACGAAACCCAAAAGTTTATCTACCTGAGCTTACGCTCCAGGTACCGTCGCATCACTTCGTTGACCTCCCCACTAGATACATGGACGCCCAAATACCGTCTATCTTAAACCCCGTGTTTGCTAAGTCACTAGATTTTGTTGGTGACATTACTTACAGACCTCCACTGGGTTCCAGTGATCATGTTTGTTTGCTCTTCAGTTGTACTGTCTGGACACTACCAGAGTATTGTAGAGTCTCGCCCGAACATATGACCCGCAGGCTATCAAGAAATGAAAGTCAAGGCTTCGGATTTCCATTGTGAGATCTCAGACGATGATACTGTTCAGGTTGCCTGTGATATCTTTAAGTCCTACCTCACAGAGGTCTCTGCTCCCTTCATCCCAGTGACAAGGAGAAAGAGAGCATGAGCACAGCCGCTCTGGGTAAATTCCATTGGCAGGCATCTGCTCACAAAGAGGTCTAAATTTTGGACTTACCGAGATGCTCCGTCCACCGATACTTATGACAGGTACCGTAAGGCTAGAAATAGGTGTAAGCAACACTTCAGGAAGGCTCGGCTTAATTTCGAGAAAGATTTAGCAGACGCAGCTTTAGAGAAGCCAAAAAGATGCTTCGCATATATCAAAAGGCGCTGCGCTTCGAACACATCAATTCCAGTTTTGATACATTTTGACGGTGCTCAAGCTCATACGGACCATGCCAGTGTCTGCGTAAGTATTGGTCAATATGAAGCATATTTGACAGAGTTGAGCTGGTTGGCGGGGTCCCAGCGTGTCCGTGCCTATCTGAATTTAGTGTAGCGGAGACGGACGTTCGTAAGCTGTTACAAGGGCTGAACCGTTCTAAGTCCTCTAGTGCTGGTTTAATTCAACCGAAGCTGTTGCATGAGTTGGCTGCAAAACTAAGTGGACCACTCGTTATCGTGTTTCAGGAATCGCTTGACATCTGTGCATTATCTTCCGAATGGAAGGAAGCTGTCATCCGCCCTATCTTTAAAACTGGAGACAGTTGTCTGCCTGCAAGTTACAAATCAGTTCGTCTGACGAGTGTAGTAGTCAAACTCCTCAAGAAACTGGTGAGATATTCGTTGGAGAGTCACCTGCGTATACGTAAGCTACTTAGCAATGCAAAACAAGGATTCCGGAAGGGCTTTTTGTGTCTGAGGAATCTATTGGTGGTTCGCGGAAGTTGGACAGATGCAGTGGATAACGGCTACGCATTGGGGGTGCTTTTCGTCGACTTTTCGAAGGCACTTGACTAGGCACCCCATTTGGGGCTCGTACAAACGCAGACCTCTACGACGTATCTGGCCGCGCCCTTCAGTTGGTGAGTACCTTATTGGATGGTAGAGAACATTGTGTACGAGTAGGCCATGGCCTTTCGTTTAGACAGTCTGTTTTCAGGGGCGTGTCGCAGGGCTCGATCCATGGACCGCTGCTGTTCTCTATTAAGGTGAATGACCTATCCGCGTAGCTTGGGGTACCATCACTACTATTTGCTGAGCACCTGATGCTGTGGAACATTGTCGATATTCCTGGGGCCTCCCAAGCTATTAAGCAAGCCTTGGAAAAGCCCTGGGACTAGTCTACTTTATGGTTACTGCCCATAAAGCAGGCAAATTGTTCCGTTCTCCAAATTGGAAGAGGTTGGCCTGTTGCGGAATGCTTAGCCGGTGGGGTCGAACACCACCTTGTATCTAGCCAGGTCAATCTAGGCGTCGTACACTCTTCGATTTTACAATTTGGCGACAATTGGAAGAATGCCGCAAGCAGAGTTTTCTGCGGGTTGTGCTTAATACGACGTTCTTTTGGAGTTTTGACAGCAGGCATGTTTACGAGATGGTTTTCGGCTTTCATTTGGCCTCATCTGGTGTATTGCCTCCAGGCTTGTCCGCCCTACCTCGGCGGGGACAAAATGGAGCTAGAGAGGGTTGTACGGGTGAGTACTAGGTTATTCGGGGTGTACGAGGACGGACGTAGCCCGAGCGTCTACTTAGTTTGGAACTGCATGCAATGCACTACCGAAGGCTTAGGAGAGACCTAATTCTAACCTACCGTAACTGGGTAGGTTGGTCCAGATTTTTCCTAGCTATTCAGTCCCGACAGATTGTCGGTTCTACGCGGTCATTCCGTGAAGCTGGACAAACCGCAATCCGTTCGAATCAGGACGGAAATCCGGCTGTCACGCCGAGTTATCGATCGCTAAAACATACTTCCGGAAAGTGTTATCAGGGGATCTAAGGTTAAGGGGTTTGAGCGGCAACCTGACGCTCTTCGGTGGCAACACGAAACCTTTTCATTTTCCTGAGTAACGCATCTTCATACTGCGACTGCTTTTTCTCTACTTTTTTCTTGCATTGGTATCATTTTCTTATTTCAACCGCACTTCTTTATGCTGTATCTTCGATTTATCTTCCTCTCCTTTGTTTACTTACGTGCCTGCCACAGCAAGGACTGCTAGAACAGGCAACGTAGGCATTAATTGGTTTGCCAGGGTGCGATACGGGTGTTTCGTATTAGATTTATCAAGGACGTTAAGCACTTCATCCATTACTGGCTCAACCACTCACCCCAGTTGGAACACTCAAGGGATTCTGCTATCGTTCCAGTCCCACCCGAACTCTTACTTGAACCCGCTACCCAGGTCTCCCTGGTTAATCCTTATTCTCCCCCTTTTGCCTCCGCACCAACCTGCCTGACAGGTAAGCGAAGTTGCGTGCCGTCTGATTCTTTCTCGGATCCATTGGCATACATGCGTCACAGTGAGCCCAAGACCAAGACATACGCTGCGGTTGTAAGGGAAAGCACCACCGCCTGTGATGTACAAATCCCAGCTATGTATAACGCTAAGACTAAGTCAAAGTCTAAATGCAAGCCATTTTTTCTCAGTCCCAGTTCAAATCCGTTCGTGCCAGGATTAACCAATTGGAAACGCTGATCAAAGACAGCGCAAATCCTCTTTATCCATAGATCACAAGACGTGCCTAACCACCTTCCCGTGACCGATGTCTCATCATCATGAACGCGCCTGGATTGACCAAAGATACCCCAGTCGGAAGGATGTTAGACGACCAAGTATTCCTTGTACGACTGATCTCTGTTTTATTCGACGAAGGTATACTGGGAATCAGCATTATCTCGGCCCTCCACTTGAGTAGGAAACAAGAAGATTCCCTCAAGGCTCACCTCAAGGTTTTGTGCCAAGACGGGGAAGAATGTCGACTCATTCTCCGACGGACCCCACGTCTCAAAGGTGAGCCGTTTTATATGTTGAGAGATCTCTCTCCGGAGGATCGGATCAGAATGAAAAAATATGTTGAGGAGCTGAGAACTCATCAGGTGAGTGGTGATATAGGCCTTCATATCGTGGATTTTCGTGTAGTTCGGAACACTCCGAGAACCACTTTGAGGCCGATTCTCATCACCCCGGTACGGTAACGCAAAAGAACGGACTGCTGTAGGACTAGTAAATACTAGTCCGTGACGGTGCGCGAAGTAGCGCAATTCCCTCGTCTTTAGGGTCAGATCGGCCTGACGTAGGGGGTCACCAATTTGTAGGACTAGACGCGCAGATATCAGAAGGCACTTGGAGTCGGACACAGCGGACTCTATTCGATGGGCTACAAGAAGACGCGGACGAATGATGCAAACAGGAGGTACACGTTAGCGCGGGAACTTACAGGGCGGTCGAGTGTCGAGCCGGTTGTAAGGAAGATTAAAACAAGAAAGAGTAGTGTACAATTGGTCAACAATTAAATAGTACGTAAAGATAGTAGTCCTCTTTTTGGATGCTACAGAGCGCCCCTTCCCCCCTAGAAGGCTGAACATAGAAAGCCTTCGATATCGAAAATGACTGATGAATCGAGGTTCGTATGGCAAAATCGGCCGAGTAAGAATGAGGGAGCGTTCGTATCAAATGGGGGTTCGCCGGAAGTCGGAGTCCGCTGTGCCGTTTGTGATTTATTATTTATTTATTGCAGGACAGGGTGGATTTCGGCGAGTCGTTGGAGCGGGCTTGTCGGATTACAATAAACTGGCTAGCCCACAAAAAGGCCGACAGGACCTCAATCTTCGCTGCTGCCAAACGGTGCGCTTGGGAGTGGTCTCTCCCCCCGCCGCACCCCAACCCGCGCCAACACAACCATCGTCCCACAGAGAAAAGACCGTCGTTTCACGAAGAAGTAATCCTCGTCCTGCAGAGAAACGAGCGGCGTTCGCGTCGGGGTCCTCGTTGACTGCGTCGGTTTTCGAAGACTGCTCGTGTGGGCCGGTCGATCGAAGGGAGGGTTGGGGCATATAGAGACGAGAAAATAGAAAAACGCACAGAAAACACCAGAAAGAACGAACGAATGATATGTGTGTTTAGCTTTTTTGGTTTTTGAATAGTTACAAGAAAGGTTTTTCGGAGGTTTTTGAGATTTTTGTTTGTTTTCAAAACGTTAATCGACCAAAAACCTGGCAAATTTATACAATATCTACAAACCTAAACGTATTTACACCGTACATAGTCGGAGAAACGAACCGGCTTACTCACCTTTCGATCACGGCGATTGGTTGGGGGAGGCAACGGGCTAGATTCGGGAGATATCGGGACGGCTGATGCTTGTAGACCAAGATCGTGGTCTGGTTGTATAACACTAGGATGCTGGAAGCTGATGTGGTGAGTTGTGACGTCGCACGAAGCACTACTAGACGAAGTAGGCGAAGTGGTTTCTTCCATAAAGACCGGCTTTAGACGGTCGGGGGTGACGACTTCGCGTCGACCACCGCGGTTAATAGTGTGTGTTCTGCTCGCACGGTGTAGCACTTTGAAAGGTCCTATGTACGGCGACTGAAGAGGCTGTCGAACACCGTCTGCGCGAAGAATGTGTGAACACGTAGACAGCTTCACAGGCACGTACACTGGTGTCTTCTGCGATCGAGGAGCAGGTGGACGTAGCTCACGCATCTGGTGAGCCAATTGATCAGTGTAACTTCCGTAGTCAAAAGAGGAAGTAGAGGGGGCTGGTGCTACCAGCTGTCCGGGCAACTGCAGCGTGCAGCCGTAGACTAGCTGTGCTGGTGTTGCGTCGAACTCGGTTTTAACCGTGTTTCTTAAGCCTAGGAGGACGAGGGGAAGTGTTTCAGACCATGAAGGATCTGCGTGCGCACGTAGCGCTGCCTTCAACTGGCGGTGAAAACGCTCCACCGTGTCGTTAGCGGCCGAATGATACGCCGTCGTCTGAACGTGGCGACAGCCTAAATCCTTAAGCAACGTGGCAAATGTCAACAAGAAATGTGACCCTCGCTTGGTGGTCACGATGACGGGACAGCCGTATTGAGCTACCCAGCGCTCCAGAAAACCTTTCGCTACCGTTTCCGAGGAGCAATTTGGGATAGGGACGGCCTCAGGCCATCTAGTAAATCGATCCATACAGGTCATTAGATACACAGAGCCTTTCGAAGGCAGCAGAGGATCTACGAGGTCGACGTGCACGTGATGGAAACGTGTGTCTGGCGTTGGAAACGTGCCTAATGGGCTTTTCATGTGCTTGTGCACCTTCACGCGTTGACACGGAAGGCAGGCAGCTGCCCAACTACGGACGTCCCGATTGACATTGCGCCAAACGAGTCGTGCGGTTGCGAGTTTAACCGATGCATGAACGCACGAGCTAAGCCGTGCAACGCGTTGAACACGGTCTGCCGAAACTCGCGTGGGAGGACTGGGCTCGGCGTGCCCAGAGATAAATCGCAAAGTATAGTTCCGTCTGATGATGTCAGCTGAACGGGTCGTATGTCCAGTGAGGGAGACCTGCGTAGTAGATCAACCTCAGGGTCGTTGAGTTGCGCTGTGGCCATGGCTGCTAAGTCGACGGCAGTGCTGGCGTCATCGGAGATAGCTTAGATGTAGGAAAGTGCATCGGCGATGGCGTTGTGCACACCTGAAACATGCCGTATGTCGTCGTAAACTGAACGATATAGTCAAGGTAGCGCGACTCTCTAAGAGAGTATCGGTCGGTAGTCGAGCCGAGCACGTAAATCAGGGGTTTGTGGTCGGTGAAGACGGCAAAGGAATGGCCTTCTAAGACGTGTCGAAAGTGACGTATCGTTAGATATATGGCTAGTAGTTCTCTACCGAACGTGCTGTAGCGAGATTCGGTAGGTTGTAGGCGTTTGGAGAAGAACGCTAAGGGCTGCCATGTGTCAGCTACTCGTTGCTGCAAAACAGCGCCGACTGCCACGTCCGAGGCGTCAGTACTGAGGGACAGTGGGGCGGCCGGATCGTGATACGCCATAGAAGCTATGTTGGCGATAGCCTCTTTCAGCGACTTGAATGCAGCGCGTGCTGCGGCAGGAAATTCGAATTTCTTGAGTTTTCCTCGGAGTAGGTTCGTGAGGGGTTGCAACAACGAAGCCCAGTTTGGTATGAACCGTCGTTAAAAGTTGACAAGTCCATCAAAACGCTTAAGCTGTTTGAAAGAATGACGCCCGGGGTAGTCGATGATGGCTTGAATTTTATCCTGCAGTGGCACGATGCCTGCAGAGGAGATACGATGGCCGATGAAGTTGACTGAGTCGACACCAAACGAACACTTTTCTGCGTTGATCGTCACCCCGTGTTGAGATAAACGATCAAAAAGTGTTCATACGTGGCGCATATGCTCTTCTCGTGAAGAGCTCGCGATTAAATTATCCTCGAGATAAGCATAAGCGAAGTTTAAGCCGGGACAAACTTTGTCGATGAAGTACTGAGAAGTTTGCATGTCATCCTTTAGACCGAATGGCATGCGCAGGAATTCGAACAAAACAAATGGAGTTGTCACGGCAGTTTCTAGCTATGTCCGCTTCGGCTACCGGAATTTGGTTGTATGCGCGTATCACGTCGATTTTGCTGAAGATATTTTTACCCGCCAGACGCGGTGAGATCCATGGTGTGTGGGATCGGATAGCGATCGGGCTTGGTAACCGTATTCAAGGTTCGATAGTCGTCGTAAGGACACCAGTCCCCCATGACCTTCTTCGGGACCATGTGGAGAGGCGACGCCCATGGGCTGTTGGACAGTCTGACGATACCGAGCTGAAGAATATGGTTGAATTCAGCTCGTGCTGCACGTAGTTTGTCAGGAGCAAGCCGTCTTGGTCGTGCGCTAACTGGTTGACCACGCGTGTCTATGTGATGAGCGACCTCTGTCGTGACTGGCGGAAGCTCTGCAGCTGCTCGTACCAGTCGCGGGTATTCAGACAGTAGGTTCGCATAATCTGATAGTACATCGGCGATTAGAAAAACGGGACTGATTATCGGGACGTCCGTAAGAACCCCTTCGACCCCTAGTTTAGTACGGTCGTCTAAAAATCTGTGGCGACCCGCATCAACAAGCAACCCAAAATGTCGGAGGAAGTCGATACCGATAATTGCGAAGGGTACGGACGCAACCATGAAGACCCACTGAAAATCTCGGCGAAGATTGAGGTCCAGGTTCATCATGCGTTGACCGAATGAAGCTATCAGAGAATCGTTGGCCGCAAGCAGGTTGTACGTAGACTTTGAGTGCTTGTCGTTCGCGTTCGCTGGGACGACGCTGACTTCCGCTCCCGTGTCGATGAGGAACATGATGGAAGAACGTCGATCCTTAACGTAAAATAAGCAATTTGTTTGGTTATTGACGGATACGTTGGTCTTGCTAGTATGCGGGCTATTCGTTTTCTTTGAAGCGCCTGAGTCGTGTCTAACGCAGGGAGTCCGACAATGTCTAACTCTTCCACCATATTGGCGGTGATACCAACATACTTTTTCGACGGGTTTGCTATTATCTGACTGAGAACGTGCAGGGAAAATTTTGCGCTTTCGGGTCAAAGGAGACGTACTCGGTGCAGGCACAGACGAGCCGCAATGTAGGGTAGCTAAAACGTGGTCAGCATCTGACCGTGGCACACGCTACTTCGACGCCTTCAGTTCTGGTATCCTGCTGCGAAGTAGCGCAATTTCTTTGTCTTTAGGGTCAGATCGGCCTAACGTCGGGGTCACCAATTTGTAGGACTAGACGCGCGGATATCAGAAGGCAATTGGAGTCGGACACAGCGGACTCTATTCGATGGGCTACAAGAAGACGCGGACGAATGATGCAAACAGGAGGTACACGTTAGCGCGGGAACTTACAGGGCGGTCGAGTGTCGAGCCGGTTGTAAGGAAGATTAAAACAAGAAGGGGTAATGTGCAATTGCTCAACAATTAAATAGTACACAAAAGATAGCGGTTATTTTTTTGGGCGCTACACTGCGTGTGCTGTTCGCCAATGTACGCAGTCTGCGTAATAAACTTGATAAGATCCAGATGCTTGCCGCAGATGTTTTTCCTGGCT